CTTTCTGATGCTAAAACAAGAAGGGAAGCTCGAAAAAAACGGCAGACTTCTCTCTAGCCTTCCCCTCGATTTCATAACCCTCCATGACCAGCTTCAGGCTGCCTGGGAGAGAATTCCACATCTCAGTGAGGATAAGAGAGTTTGCAGCAGGCTGCGGCTCCCGTGGACCTCGCCAACAGCTTCGCAAAGAGCTGCAAACTATCCAAGAGCAGCAAGCGCCAGCAGCCCTGTCACCTCTGCATCTGCAGCATCTCCCTTCCTCCTGCACAGAAAGGCGAGAACAGGTCGCAATGCTTCCTGCAACATTTTACATGAGCCAAGAACTACTAATGATAATTGCTGGCAGCAGCTCAGTTCCTCCAAGGCACAAAAACGAGTGCAAGCACTTGCAGAGGGTAATCACAGCGAGCGCTTCCCTGTCTGGAGCTGCTGCTGACATGGGCGGCTGCATGATGATGGATGAGCCAAATGGAGAACGCAGACCCAAATCGTTTGAGAAACACTGTTTCGGAAATACCTTGGTCTTAGCTGTACAAATCTCCCTTCTGTTCCCAAGCAACTCTAATTTCACTCTGCAGAAAGAAAAGAGAAGGAAAGGGAGAGATTACTACCAGCAGTGCTCACGGTCAGGGAAAAGCACTCTTAGATCAAAAACCCTCAGTGACAAGTCCTGCAAAAAAAAAAAAAAAAAATAGCAGCTGCTCTACCTATGAGGTTAAAATTGGACAAGAGTCACAGCGATGCCACACAGACTCAGTCTATAGGTTATGCCCCAGCATCGCTCAAGAAGCAGCACCTTGCAGCACTGTGGGTTTGGCAGCTTCATGCCACAATGCCCCTTGCTTCGTACCTGAGCTGCAGGCCTTTCAGTCAGGCAGGTGTCCTCATCTAGAGTCGCTTTTCTACACTTATAGCATCAGATCAGTGACATGCTCAGGGACACAACTCCAGTGTATATCAATACCCCATCCCCCTTCAGCAGCCTTGCATCCAGTTGATACATCAGCCAAGTCCCAAAGCAACATTAAAAGCCTGACTGGGGTCCTAAAGCCACTGAGGCCACCTTTCTCCACACCTACCCTCTCGCCCCACTCTTGGGTGCCTGTATATCTATGACCACACTCATTGCTGCATGAAATCAGTGGATATTTTGCTTAAATAAGACAGTCAGCACTTGGCTTATATCTCTTTAATGACTTGAGCATCTGGTTTCAATACAGCAGGCTAGGAGTAACCACATTATAATAAAAGTCAGCTAGAGCTGCAATTAGCTCGAGGCCCCGATCTTATACAACTAAGTAGGTGCCGCCACATCTGTTGACAGATACCGGGGGGGGGGGGTCGAACCCCACACCTAACATCTGCACTCAGTTCCCTTGTGCTGCATCCAACATTATGCTCCTGGTTTGCTCTGCCATAGCATCTTTCAGTTGGGCTTCTCAAAAGGACCCTGCACACGCTGCAAAACCACAGGGCGGCAATACCAGGATGCACGACCTGCTCAGAGACCCTTGCACTGCACCTCTGCTGCCAGTGCAGAGCACTCTGACTCAGGTCTTGCTGGACAGCATGCTTTGGCCCAATGGCTTGGCAGTTTGAGAGTCAGCTCTCAGGCTCTGGGTTCCCAGCTCCTGGTGAGGGCATGTCCAAGGAAGCCTTTGATTGATGAGGTTCAGCCTCAGAGGGCACATGTCTGGAGAGTGGAGCTCACTGACATAAGTAGCCCTGTCGATGCCACCCGCACCCTTGCCTTGCAGTGCTGGCTGGGCTGATGCCACATGTTACCATGCCAGTGTCAGCTAACACAGTGGATAAAATTCATATCCTATAAGTATTTTTCCTTCAAACACGTTGGGTCTCCAAATTAACATTCTCCTGACTTCATCTGGTGTGAGATAGATGGCTTCGAATATTTTATTAATAATAGGGGGCACAATGAGCTGAAATCTAAAATTACCACTCTGAGATATTACAGCTTTAGGGAGATTCCTTTAAACTTGAACGAGAATAGAAAAGCCAAGGTTTCCCATGGAAAGCAGTTACCGAAAAACTCATTTTAAGAGTTGCCAAAGCCAGCAGGTTTTCATCTACGATGACTTTGTCGCATCACGTGCGTTTGACTGTTTCTGGTTTACCCTTTTAATTCATTTACTTATGGAGAAGAAGCAATTCAACCTTGTTTAAAAAACCAACGTATTTTCAACAATCTTTCTAACAAAATCATCAAGTTTCTTTAAACATTTACATCTCTCTCCATTTTGCTGCAGAAAACTGGTTCTGCCAAAACATTTTCAGGCAGCTTTAACATGCTTGAAACTCAGTACACCGGTTACATTTTACAGTCCCCAGAGTACAAATGTGAAAACTGAGGCAAAACCACAGTTATTACATAGAGCAAGGAAAACAAAATCAACAGGAGAGCAAACAGCAGCCTGCAAAGCATCCATCAGTCTGACCATGGGACAAGGCTTCCTATCTGGAAAGCCACTGCTACAGGGACACCTTCCCAGCAGCAAACTCAAACGCGCGTGCGTTCGAGCACATGCGCAAACTCTTACCCACGCAAAAGAAAAACAAAAATGTTTTTTTCAGTCACCTCAGCTATCATTTCTGGCTCTCTAGGGATGATTTCAACCTTGTTCTGCACCATTTCTTACCACAGAGCTTCCTATAAATAGTTCTGGTTTTTCACCTGCAGAATTAGAAGGCTGTTCCCCAAGGGAGGGAGCGTAATAGCAAAAATGGTTTAACAAAAAGGTACAAGCAAAAATCTCAGCCCCAGTGAAGGCCCTGCGCTGGGATGAGCAGAAAGGTGGGTGTTTTCTTTCCCCAACGCAAGAGCATTGGCCAGGTGCCCCGAGTTCACGCATCCGCCACCCAATTGTTTCTGGAGTCATCACATCTGCAAACAAACAGGTAAGCACATGACATGACACCGCCCCTTTTCCAGGATCACTGCCCAATAAACAGAAAAGTCAGAGGGAAGAGATAAAAACTACGGTTTATTTATTTCTTCCCAGTTTCGTGGCTTGCAACCAAAGCTGCGGGTTGGCAGGCAAGACAAATTGCTAAACATGGGACTTGTGACGCGCTCTGTCTGTGCACGCACAGGCACGAGGGGGTGGGAGTAACTCAGGGCTAGAAATAGGGCAGGGGACAGAGATTTATTAAAACGTTCATAGGAAATGACATATTCCCTCCCTTTTGTTTCATTTTGTAGTTCTTTGCATCTTTATTCTGGAGGCCTGACAGTCTTTTGCAAAGCATTCAGCAGAGCAGTGGCATTAGCCCCGTTTTCGCCAAAACCGCAAAATCTGCCAGCAGCAGCCAGGAATAGCCCACGAGGTGCATCAGCAAATACTGCCTGTTATTAGACCTCTAACAGCCTGTTTGTAGTTGCTTATAACTTTGTCAAGATTTGCCAGAGCAAATGACTTCCTCTAGCAAATCTCTAATTTTGGCGGGAAAAGAATTTTGGCAAAAATAGTTCCATGGACAAGGTTAAGGAAACACCTTGTTTTGGACACATTAAAACATCCAGATGATCTGGCACCCCGTAAGTCCTTACGGAGGAGGGATCTGAAATTAGTCAGAAGCAATCGCCCGTGTTAAAGATGTGCCTTTACGCTGCCTTCATGACAAAAATTTCTGACCATATTTGGTCAAGTTAGAAAGTGCAGAAATGTGAGGCCACACGCTCTCAGCAGAAACCTATCAAGGCGCTAGTGGAAGAGCTCTCCAGGGGTACCAGCATGCCCAGATACACTGGGCACGCTACATCCCACTTCTCCAGCACCTCTTGCTTTTTCCCAAGTCTTCTCCTTACCAGCGTGCAAGCTGGAGGAGAATCCACCTCTCAAGTATGCAGTCTTATAGTGTCTTTAAATGAGAAGTATCTCAGTCCTGATTTGGACCGTGATGCACACAAAGCACAGGACAGACCTTTCATAGTCTCTGGGGCACAAGATAGAAGGACTTCGCAAAGGAAGGCGGCAGGGACAGAAAAGTCAGATCATGGTCCTGGAAAACAGGATGCTATGACTAACCAAGCCAAAGAGCAACTAGGTGATGCCAGACTTTTCAAAAGCAGTTGCAAATATAGTGTTTCTCATTGTTCAGGGTCATGAGCAGCTGGAGACCCCAAGTATATGCTTTACAGTGCCACAAAAGGCAAAGTACTTGGAAAAAAAAAAATCACATCTCTCCCAGTAGTTTTGACCTTAGTCTCTTCCCACATGTAGAAGACAGGAATAGCAACTCATCTACCTGCTGAGTGCTCAGCTGCACTGCTCAGCTGCATCTTTTAATTCACTTGTGTGTATGAAAGTATTATATACATAAATATGATACACAGACATTCACCTATACACAAGTAGAGTAAGTGCTAGCGGTGTCAACAGACCTCACAATCTAAGGGCAGACAGGTCATGGGAAAAGAAGGGACTAAAGTACAGGCAAATTCTCGGTGTAAAGGGCCAGTTCCTCTCCCTTCCAGTCCATGCTCCTCCAGTGATGTATAACTACAAGAACAGAGAGGGATCACTGACTTTCTTGGTGCACGTTTCTCTTCTCCCACTGCCCAACATCTCGTGCAGACACTGGCACCAATGCGCAGACAGTGCCCAGAGGCCATTACCCTCAGCCAAATCCCTGCAGTGGCTGCTGGCGCAAATGGAGTCACAAGACTTAGGAGAGCGGAGAACTGGGCCCCGCGCGCACCCGGCAGGGTGGGTGTGCAGGCATTCGCATCTCCGCTTCGTGCTTCTGCTTTGCCGCCTTCATGGGGCACTTCCAGGACACCTCACAACAAGGTACTGGGGATGCACGTGAAACTCAGCGTGTAAGGACAGGTCGCAGCTTTCTTCAGACCTGCAGAAGGGCGGGTGGGCCTGAATGGGTCTATTTGAGCAGGAGAGGTGGTAGTAGTGCCTTTTGATTTGTCTGCTTTTCTTCTAGTTTTAATGTTTTTAAGAAAAAAGTGAAAATCTAAGTGTTATTTGCAGAGTAGTTCAATACACTCCAGACCTGAGAGTCTTTTCTTTTCTTTGTTTCTAGCTGTGGACAGATGATTTCTTCTTGCTGGAACATACGAAGGAGCTATACGGTAACACATGCAAGGGAGGTCTCCTAGCAAAAATTACCCTATTGCATATGCTGTGTGATGGCAAACTGCTCTCAGCCTTAGACTTGGCCTTTCCTACAGAGTCCTTAGTAATCCCATTAGGACAGCTACCTCCACTGAGCTGCGATGGCACTTGGGTTTTCTCTACCAAATCTGCTTCTGGAGGCACTCCGCTTGGCTTTCCTCCCGCCATGGGGGCGGATATAGTCTTTCTCAGCTCATCTTGCTCAACAAGCATCTTCACCACAGGGGCTGTGTGAGTGGTGTAGGCCGGCCATGGGTGGTGGCACTCAATCAGGTGGCTGGGCAGGCCCATGTTGACTGATGGCAGGGTGTTTTCTGGAATCCAAGAAACAGAGACACTATGAGAGTGCAGCACCCACAGTTGGTTAGGTTTTGGCTTCTTCTGACTCTGGGAAGGGTAAAAAGAAAAGAATAGCCTCACTGACACCAAGGATGCCCTTCAGAGCTGAAGAGCATAGCCGGGATCAATGAGGGCTTTGCTGCAGTCAGCGAGGGCCAGGGCAGTGCTCTGGGAGAGCAATGCAACAGCTGCTAGCTGCTCTGCATCACGGTTCATTCAAGTCCCCAAAACCTGTACAAGAAATATGCATGATGTCCATCATTCCTAGCTATCGTGCTTTTATTATACGTGGGTGCAGGGTTTGACCGCACTGAGCAAGGAGGAGCTGCAGAAAGAAAAAAAGGCAAAACCCAGCAGTTTTCATTTCTACCGTACTTGGACCAATGTCCGAGATGACGGACATCAGGGCAAGACTGCACTGAAGATCTTTCCAGTCGCAGCTTTCTGCCCTAAACACTTAATCACCCAGCCTTGTACCTCCAACATGAAGCCACAAGGTTGGTAGAAGAGATTAGACTAAGTCTACCTGGGAAGATGTCTGTCCAAGAGCAACTTCACACACAAGAAAATTCCCATCAAAAATAACATAGAAAAACAAGTGAGACATTTAAGCAGATCTTGACAAATCAGGTAGTTGGTATTCTTAATTTTTAAATATAAGGCCTGCCATACAACCAGCTTATTTCACTCAGATGTCATAACTCATTACAGAATTACACAGCACGGAAGCAGAATTTTCTGCCTGAATTTAATATATTGGTTTTACTAACTTTGCCATTACAATTAATGTAATTATGACTAAATGGTCAAAGAAGTAAAATCTGATCTTGCTTAGCACAAGCAACTAAGATAAGATGGACGGCAGGAAAAAGCCCTACTGATCGAGGCTCCCCTGAAGGCCAGTCTCTGTAGAAGTGACAAATTCCCATGCTACAGCGCGTTTAAATCTGATCTGAACCAAGCTGTGAACTGCTGCAGCCTGCGGGTAAGAAAGGAAGGACGAACCAAGGGATGGAGTAACTGTCCTGTAAGAAGGCTTTTAGAATGATATCCATGTTTAGAAAGAGTCTGAGAATCCCCTGTGCGTGGAGGACGCAGCAGTCCTAAGAGCGTCATCCCAGCTCCTCTCCTTAATTGCCCTCAAAATGGGTTAAAGCAGCAGCTGCTGAGGAGGATGACAAAAGGCAGAACACAGTCTTAGTAAAGAGCAAACCTGTTTGGTTTATAGATGTGGGAAGCCCAGCCCATGAAAGGATAGTAAATCCTACTCTCTAGATGCTTGAGGAACGATTTCAAGCAGGAAGAAGTAGGGCCAATAAGTACTTGGCCTCTCTCTAGCACTGTTCATCAGAGGTGCCTGGAGCATCCAGCAGCCCCTCGTTGCACCTCCCCAAGCTTCACACAGCCCCTTCCTCCTGCTTTTTTTTTTTTTTTTTTTTAATTGGGGAAAATTTTGTCTCATTTCTCTCTCTCTCTCCTACAGAGGGTCGGGTCCTTGAAACCAAGCTATGCATATCAGGAAAATGCCCCAAACAAAAACACGCTCCGTTTCATTAGGGCTCTGACGTTCTGCTGCGATACCCGGAGTTCCCAGCAGATACGGGCCAGCGTTGCGCATGCAGAGATGAGGACGTGCGCGGGGCAGAGCTGCGCGCGTTTCCTGCAGCCCCACCACGAGTTCCTGGCACAAATTTAAAAAAAAAAAAAAAGAAAAAGAAAAAGAAAAAATATTAAAGCGCTGTTGCGCTCAAGATTATCTTCCGCTAAAACTGAAGGGCCCTGCCACGTCTGGTGAAGAACCGCCTCTCCCGGGGCGCGGGGAATTTGCTCTTGCGTAAGCCCGGCTCCGCTGGCGCGCTGCAGCAGCGCGGCCGGCGCCAGGACAGCTCTGCCCTTCCCGGCGCTCCCCGCTGCCGGCCCCTCCGCGCTCCCTGCTATAACCCGGCGCTCGCTTTCACTGCCCGGCTGCAAGGGAGAATTTTCGTCGCCTCCCAAGGGCGCGCGTTCAGGTCTTGCTCGCTCCCCCTGCCTTACGCACGCTCTCTAGAAACCCCTGGCCTTCCTCCCGGCCAGGGTAAGGCCAACAGATCCGCTCGTTCCCCGGCGCGTTACTTGGTGGAAAAGCTTGCGTAAAAAGCGCTGGTTGTCCGTCTGCTTTCCCGAGCGGCGCTTTTATTCACGCTGTGACAACACCGTAACAGGTTAGCTGACGGACAGACAGCCAGACAGCAGGGTAGCGGCGTAGGGGCTGAACGGCCTGACAGGCAGATCAGGCTCTTCCCTACTTCTATAAATAGAAAGAGTCTGACACGTGCTCATGAAAAAGTTTCCATACCAAAACCCAGTTTCACTGCAATCATACTACTCTACAGTGACGCTGCTGTATACCTGCACAGCGCGCGCGTTCGGCTTTACAATCAGGGAAATCCAAACCAAGGGGGAAAAAAATCTTCTTTTAAATTACAAACTTTGAGACAAAGTGCGTATTTTGACAACTCACCACGACCATGTCTCTTTAAAGTGGTTGAAATCTTCTGTTCTGACTGCCAGTACAGTTTTTAACCCTTCTTTGTCCCAGAACTACTGTTAATACTGCTTTAGCACTTAGCTCCTCAGGCCAATTTGCAGCAAAAAACACTAGAAGAGGGTAAAAACACCAAAAAAACTCATTAAAGGACAATTCAATTATTTTCCAAACGTTTCAGATGACTAGAAAATTTTGGCTTGGCCCACGAAAGCAAGGCTGGATGGTGGGTACCCCTGCCACCAGCTCCATGCCGGAAGGAACCAGAACGCCAGGAGATGGGTTTCTACTGCACGTAAAACATTATGGGAGACGCACGCACGCGAGTGAATTCAGCGTTGCACCAAAAGCACTGCAGCCTACTGGGTAAAACAGCAAGATTTGACACCAAATGCAACAATTACGAGGCACAAGACAAAGAATCGACCTGGAGTTATTTCCCCCGCTTTTACAGGCTGCAGATCAGGTCTTTACAAAAGCAGGATAAACACACCAAGTAAAACCTGGGCACCCAGCCACCCCACGGGGCCGAGCTGTAAAATTTAATTCGGGGGTAACAGAGGCCGCGGAAAGAACGGCGTGCGCCCCAGAGGCGCAGCAAAACCTCACAGCCTGTTCCCAGGGCCGGATTCGGAGCGCTCTGCCGCAAAAAAGCTGCGAGACGGGTGCCAGGGGGTCGGCGGGGGTGACGCGCAGGCGAGCGACGCCGTCTCCTAACGCTGCAAACCGAAGCTTGGTGCTGCTAAGGACCGCGCGGCGCGGAGACGGAGAGCCGTTTCTGCCTGCAGCCCCCAAAACAAAGCGCACTAGATGCTTTGCAGAGTAAACACAAAGATCTGGCTTAGTCCCTCATCTAAACAACTGATGGTGCAACAAGGCAAGGAATGAGCACAACGAGGCGGTGGAAGAAGGAAGGACAAGGGTTACAATAACAAGATGTGGCTTCGACCCGCACCCCTTCCTTGCACGCCTGTTGTTTTCGCTGGAATCTGCTGCACAAAGCTAGACATTCCCAGCTCAAAGCTTTTTTTGAGGTAAAGAGCTAATCTGGTAAGTTAGAAGTAGGAGGGCATGTGCACACGCTAGGTGTGGCTCTCCTAATATCTTCTTATGTTCGCAAAGGATTATTTTAATTCTAGATAAATGTTGCTGCTTATGATGTTCGCGTAGGCTGGACTTTCAAAGGGGCCTTGGGCTCAGCTGTGTTGCTTAATTGCTGTAGCATCATTTAATGGACAGCATGTGCATGTCAAAAAAGAAAGTTTTCATAATTTTGCTAATGCTGCAGAACGATGTGGTATGACTGACAACAATCCAGTTTGGACATTTGATGAGACAGGAGTGTTCAGTGACAGGGTCAAGGGGAGGCTATTTGGATACTGGTCAGGGAAGCTTTCCCAGGTAGTGATATGCTTGAACTGGGTACGCTGCTGGAAAAAACCTCAGATGAGGCCCCAAGATCTGATTGCAAGCTGCTCACGCTGGACTGCTGAGACAGAGGTTGGTGACAGTGCAAGCTCGAGATGTTTCTCCTCTGACCTTACCTCTAGTCTTTCCCAAACCAGCAGCAACCAGGAGCTGCAGGGAGAGAGAAGAGATGAACACGGTACTGCCTACACAGAGTCCACACAGATCCATCAAGGCTTCTGGGCTTTTGCTTGGCTAGGTTCCTCATGGAGGCCACCACAGAAATGATGCAACATTCACACCAAGGGGCATGACAGGAGGCAGCCAGATGCCATGACAGTACTGCAAGCTGCATATGGGAATGCAGAGCACTGCAGAGAAGATGCCAAAGGAAAGCCTGGAGATGACAACATCTCAGAGCAAAATGAGATGGGATCATCAGCCACCATTCGTTATTTACAGCTTGCGCTTGGCTACTGGCCTGGAAGTGATTTCAGAGCCCAGAGAGGAAAGGCTCTGCAGCATCCCTGGAAATCCGCTAAGCATATCAACTCCTTTGCTTCATAAGCAGCTGCTGGTAGGAATTGCCTCCTGGATTGTCCTGGTATACTGGCAAAGACTTTCCAGAGCATAATTAGATTTAGTTCTCCCCTGCTGTAGTTACAGGATTATTGTCTGCCATTGCAGGTGCTCTATAAACTTGGCCTGGGATTTATCTGAAGCTGCCCAAGATGAGATATCTGCTGATGAGCTACTCCAATGGGAAGTGGTCCAACATAATCATTTCCCTTCCTGGTGCCAGCTCTGGATTCTCACCTGCAAGAGGTCCAGGGCACACCAGGATGGGATTGTCGCATTCCCGCCAGACCATGGTTTCCAGTGACAAATTCAGTCCTCGCACAGCGCGCCTAATAATGCAGAGACCAGCTCAGCATCGGGAACACTTCAGGAGATGCCATTATGGAATCGTCCAAGTCACAATCATGCTGTGTTCCTCTGCACACTCAGTTGGAGTTGGTTGTCTAGAGACTAATTTTGACCTGCCACGCACCACGCGGCCTGTCCTGTTGTCAGAAGCTATCGGCCCAGTTGCATAGCTCTCGGCAAACAAACTGCTGAGGAAACTTGGCTACTCACGTACACCACAGCCAGTCCCTGGAGCCACAGTGAGTGCAAGAACTTTTCGCCCAAGAGCAATTTCCTCTAGTCTCTGCTTCCAACACATTTTCTTTCCCAATAGTCCTTGCTTTGAGCAGTACACCAAGCAGGTCTTTCGGGGTTCCTGCTCCCTCAGGGCACAAGTCCTGCTGTCCATCCTTGGCAAAAGGTTCGCTGTGAGAAGAGGCAATCAGACTGTGCAAGGCTGTCCACTTGCACCCCATCCCCTGCTCTTGTTGGGTCTCACAGACTAAGTACACTCCTGAATTCATTGATTCCCTTTTCTGGGGTAACAATAAACAAATGCCAAACAG